CATTTGTTATTTTTCAAACTTTTTGTCCGGAGCTTATCTAAACAAATTGTTAGAGGTAACATCTTGAAACTTCATAGGTGGATAGATCTTATTGGGGAGCATTGCAGCACACTAGAATGATAACCTACAGTGCATTGTTTTTTCAGTTATTGCACTTTGTTATTTTCATACTGTATTTTTGTCCAGGGTATAACTACAAAAGCATTTGAGATATCAACATGAAACTTCATAGGTGGATAGATCTTACTCAGGAGGTATGCAGTGCAAAAGAGTGATAACTCTACCCTGCATAATTTTTGAGTTATTGCCCTTTGTTATTTTCCATACTAGTTTTTTTCACCTGAAAAAGTCTTTGAAATGTCAACATGAAACTTTAAAGGTGCATAGATCTTATTGGGGAGGAATGTTTTGCGCAAGAATGATACCCTTTATATTTTGTTAGTTATTGCCATTTGTTATTTTTCATACTTTTTGTCCGGAGCTTATCTCAAAAAGGTGTTAGAGGTATCAACTTGAAACTTATTAGGTGGATCGATCTCATTGAGGAGAAGTGCAGCACACAAGACATTTAACCTACCGTGCATTATTTTTCAGTTATTGCCCTTTGTTATTTTTCATACTTAATTTTGTCCAGAGCATAACTACAAAAGCCTTTGAGATATCAACATGAACCTTCATAGGTGGATAAATCTCACTCAAGAGGTATGCAGTACACAAGAATGATAATTATTCTGCTCTACTACATAAACATGGCTCTTGTAACAAGTTACATTATGATATTTTAAAACCTTCTGAACAAGTTAACATGTCAATTCAACACAATGCTATTTGAAGATACCTTATCAATATATTTAACTGTTTTTGTTGTTGTTTCTTTGTGTTGGGGTTGGGTTTTTTTTTTGTTTTTCGCCGTGACAATCATATTGCTGCATTTCCCAGCAATTTTTTATATGTATTGTCAATTTGCGAGGCATACATAAATACTGACTAAACTTTTTCTTTTGTTATATTGTTATTTAAAGTTTTCAAGTTTAACAAGTATAAAGAAAACAAGTCTTGTCCGAAAACGAAAAAGACAAGAAATGGTTGAAAATTACAGTTGTTTTAAGTCATTGCCACTCATTTAAGAAATGTCGAAATAAAAAATAATACGTTAATGACCCATTTGATGTAATAATAAGATAGTAGCAAATTTCTTTTACGTGCACGAGACAGAAAATTTTGTTCGAAGTATGACCAAGAGTATATTAGAATAAAATTGGATTATTTAAAGTTTTGTTTCTAACGGCAATGTATTATAAATGTATGCGCCGTATTTCAATTGTGTGAATATAGTCCTCCTTCTAGAGAGTTTAAAGTATGCGTTGGGAAATGTCTTTAAACATCATAGGATTTCTTAACTAAATCCCATACTTTATCGTCACTGATTCTCATGTAACTTAAATTCAATGAGAATTAGGCCTTAGTCTTGTTCTAATTAGACATGCCGATCAATGGACATCGAGATATTTTTTTTTGGATGGGCTATGTCTTTTTCCAACGGTTGGACAGAAACAGCCCGTCCGACATTCCGCTTAATTAATCAAGTATAAAATTTTATCACTATACAAGTTAAATGCAATCCGGCAATAATTAAAATTGTGAAAAGTTTTTTTTTTTTTTTTTGGCCTTTAAGAGGCCATAATATATAAGGCCAGTGAACTAGATGAATTAGAACTAGAATTTGGATGCATTTACAAGTACGAGCACATATGTGGCGCGATAGCTCAGTTGGTTAGACAACTGACTGGCACTCCTGAGGTTTCGGGTTTGATCCTGGGTAACACCCTTGGGATTTTTCAGAAACACTTTCAGTGTTTCCCACCTAACTAGAGGTTTACTGGTACGAAACCCATGTATCGGTGCTATACACTAGGCATGTAAAAGAACCAAGGAATCTATTCAATAAGAGCTAGTGACTTGTTCCCGGATTCCCTTGTATCTAATAGCTGTTTCTAGAGTCTGCTGAAGTAAGGACCCTACTGGAAATAAGTGCTTGCACTTTCGTAGGTTTTCCTTAACCGCCCGGTCTAAAGAAAATCAATCAATAATGTGTATGTCTAAAGTCATTTAGAACATAGAATGCATTGTGTCACATGTTAAAAGACATCATGATTAAATTTTATAATATGCTACTATAGTCAAATTAAACTGCCATAAATATTTTAAAAGATTTGCAGCTATATTTTGATATATTCTGTACTAAATGAAAAGTATTTGATTTTTACCTAAGAAGTAGCAAGTTGTGTGAAACCCTGGATAAACGTACTAAAGTAGGTTTACTTACAAACGTAGTGCAGTTGAATATTTTGTTGGACAAAGGTTTTTTTAATGGCCAGTGTTGCTTCTAAAATATCAGATCAGTTTCCTGTACTCCTTATTTATACGTTTATGTAATCCTTGGGTGTTTTTTATTCTTCAGAAATAACACTGTTATATGTATCTCTTGTACACTAGTACTTTATACACTTTACGCAAATCACAATTGTTAGTAATGTCTCACAATTACAGATATTTTCAAGCTCACAACGTACCGATCAAAAGAGCACTATTGAAACAGTGAAACTCCAAACATGTATATGGAAGCTGTTACACGTCACTGGTCACTATTCTGTGTATACGGTTATTGCTTAGTTGTATTTATTCAGCATGTATTGTTTACTAAGTAATTGATCCGTACAGGTGATAATCTTTGCGGCATCTGTGTGCCGACCCATGTTGATGACAATCATAATTAGCAACATTATCTTGAAAAAGCATTGACGTCCGTTAGTTCTTTTTTAGACGAATTGACACGACAAGAAAGATACATTGTATAATTATGAGAATGTAAAGTCATGTCTAACTTTCTAAAGTTACACGCTTAAATTACTACGTACAGTATACGTATTGTATAAATTTTCCCGTACTGTCCACTGACGTGAGGACGCATGGACACCCCTATTAGTTCAATATGTAGAACGTTTGACCGTGGTTCCCTGACGTTGCAGGTCACTTTCGTTGTGATTGATAATGAAATTCTTTCTACGATCATTCGCACCTCTGGCATGTGCAGAAGTTATAAGTTCATTGGCAGCTAGTATAGCACTGGTAAACAGGAAAGATGCAGTGGCTGAACTGTTCTCTGGTAAATTCAAAGAGGCTTACAGCCGTGATCCAAGCCATTTCAGGAAAAAGCCATTCACGTATGAACTCTAGCAAATTTGTAAGTTTTTTTCTCGTTTTTTTTTTTGTTTTTTTTTTATTTATTTATTTATTTATTTATTTTTTTTTTTTTGATATCAAGAATTTCAGTTTAATTTGAAATTTATTCTATAGATTGGGAAAAATATACATATTTGCCATTGAGAATGGGTCTGGTAATTTGACCCACGGTGACATGGCATGGTCATATTGGTTACGAATTGGTTACGAATACTCATTTTGCCTAGTGATCGTTATGTAAAGATATGTTATGAAATGTTAAGGATCTATGACAACATGGGTTATCATAATTGGACTACTGATGTTCGTGTACATTTATTTTCAAATGGCTATGGTTATGTTTGGGAGGATCAAAGGGTTGACAGTCCAAAGTTATTTTTGTTACAATATACTCAAATATTAAAGGATCAATATGTACAAGAATGGAGAGATAAGTGTAGTACTACGAATAAATTATGCCATTACGTAAATTTTAAACCAAACTATGATATTGAAAAATACATCAATGCCATTGATATTGAAAAATTTAGAACCTTTATGGCAAGATATCGTAGTTAAGCACATAGCCTTATGGTGATTATGATATCACTGTTGAATATAGGAATTGTCCTTTTTGTGAATGTTATTTGGAAGATTTGTACCATTTTGTATTAGTGTGTCCTCTTTACAATTACTTAAGGATTAAATGCATACCTTCTGTATATTATCAGACTCCAAATGAACTATTTTTTTAGAATTTGATGTCTTGCCAAAATGTATAAGTCATTAGAGAACTTGCTGTGTATTTGTATTTTGCTACAAAATAAAGAATACATTTTCTCAATTCATACTAGAATATTATTAATTATATTGACTTATAATCATAAAATATTTCTGAAATAATTGTATCTATAATTGTTCTGTTTTCTTGACAACATATAAATCATGTTATTGTCTCACATGACTGTTATATTATTATATGTATTATGTTAACTTGCAAATTTTGTCGTTCTTTACTCATTGAAAATGAATACCATTTTCTACTTACTTGCCCGATATATATATAGATTTAAGACACACATTTTTGAAGCCTTATTATTTTACATGGCCAACATTGCAAAAATTTGATAAGTTAATTATGTCTCAAAACAAGAAAGAAATTATCAATTTATCAAAATATCTATATTTTGCTAACAAACGGAGAACAGAATTAGAACAGTATTAATCATCTATTTAAAATGAACCAACAATCTCGTGTAACTAATCAAAAGCTCCTTTGTTTAAATAATAACACTTACTGTAATCTTTATATGACCTATCACTACACATTATTATATTATTGTAGGCTAGAAGTAAATTTAAATGTATATTACTTAATGCTGAAATAAGTTGTTGTTGTTGTTGTAAATGTGTATGGGCTGGCGGCCTGATTATACAATAAACATGGACTTGTACATTACGATATCCAAAAATATAAATACTTACATATAATCATAAATAGGAAATTTTATAATACTGCACGTTTGTAACGTTCGTCTCTTTTGATCCGATAGTCTTTTAGAATCTATTATATTATAAACAATTATTTAAAAGACTTTCCTTAAACTAATTACATGTATTAATGAAATCCCATGATTACATAAATATTGTATTAACAATATGTTGAAATTAGCTAATGTTACACGTCAACATATATTGCAAATGTTTTGTATATAGAAATAATTGCAGTCGCCGCTAAAATTCACGTGACCAGTGTAAATAAAACCACGTGGTCTAAACGTCACTCATGTGACGTAAACTCGGAAGTGTGTTTCTTTCAAATGTCAACATGGATCAAGAAGCTCCTAAAAAGAGATATCGTTTGATCGTGGATTTTAAAAGCCAGTTCCCGGAAAAGCTATATGATGTTGTGAATGACGGAGCTCTTATAAAATGGAACAGAAATGGATCTATATCCGTAACTAGTGAAGAGGAGTTTGAAAACAATGTGATGAGATGGTACCCAGGCTTTCTCCAGATTCCGTCATTTCAGAATTTCAAGAGACTTTTTAGAGAATATGGCTTTGACAGAGTTGTTAATCAAAACAATCAGTATGAATGGTCTCATGAAATGTTTGTGCGAGGTCGAAGAGAATTTCTATCAGAAATAAAAACCCGGCGGAAATCATTCAGAACACCACAGAATCGTCGTGAATTTAATGCAGATGGTGACATCATAATTCCAACGAATGGTAGACGATTTCCATTACGTAAACGAGCTAAGACAAAGCACTATAGTCCGCACAATAATGAGACACCTCACAAGGACATAGTGGATTATGGCGGTAAGGAGACTTAAATGTGTTTTGTACATGTACATGTTATTATTTAGATCTAGAGTTTAAATTATACTCCTACAACATGTAAGTCTATGAAGCACATTGAAATATATTATTTGATAGAATCCAGTTTTACGTAGGAAAAATCGGGGTGTGGGGCGGCAGCCCCCATTAAGCAAGTGTGCTAATATTGTTTATATTCTGGTGTTCTCATATGAAAGACTTGCTCTACATTATGAACTTCATAAGAACAACACATGTATACGTAACATCAAGGGTCATCGGCAACAAATAATTTATAAAAAATAACTAGATCACAGTTCAGCCTACAGTATGCAGTTACTGTACCAGTACTGACTGTCTTCACTTCTGCAAGGAACTGGTAACTTCTGTAAATGACAGAGCGATACTGGTCACTTAGTTATGTCCTCGGTACCAAATAATATTGCGTAATTCCATAAGTAACTTGCTTGCAGAAATAAGTATAATCAAGTTTTATCAATACCCATTGCAATTGAAAGGGACATAACTTCAAAAAATATTGCTTCCAGAATAATGCCCCTTGTATTCTTGTCATATTTATCATTCTACTTAATAAACAATTGTTACAAAAATTCAAACATAAAAAGTGGGGCCTTAAGGGTAAGGCCCCCACGGTTACACGTTTAAACGGATTCATTTCGATTTTCATTTGCAAACGTTTACGATATTTTTACCGTTTAATCGAAATGACCATACTATTGTCTTACAAAATATCTTAATCATTGCCTGTAATCATGGATTTTATCAATTCTAATTAGTTTATTCCAAAGTAAAAACTGAAAATGGGTGTTTACAACACTCCATACAGCATCACCCTGCAATAATTACTTGTGCATGATATATTTTTTGTAAAGTTGATTTGCCTTTGATCTTTCAAAAGAGCGAAATGGGGATACATTGCAGAAAATGTGTGCTGATACAATCATGATGAGCCCTAAAATGTAAAGTATGTCATCATTTGGCGACTCAAATACATAGTGTAGTATAGTACATATACGTACCACCGTTTAAACGGTATTGTTTTGGTTCTTAGCAATCGTGTAAACGTTTACAAAAAGTTGTAAACGTCGGAGCCTTTCTTAAGGGGCATAACCAAGAAAATATAGTTTTTACTTTTCAGAATAATGCCCATTGTCTTACAACTAGGCCTTGTCATGATTTGAAGTGTTTTAGGTAGTGTTCAAGTAATGGTCTACATTCAAGGTTTTACAGGAGGAAGAAACTGCAACAATGATTTAATACCTAGCAACTATAATTGCTTGACTTTTACTTTAAGACAGAGAGAGTACTTGGTTTGTCTTATTGTCAGCATACAAGAAATTCATATTTTAAGATTCTTAAATTTTTTTATTTTTTTTTTTATCTATTTTAGGTGGAGGGGAAGGATTTACTCCTAACAGCCTTACCAACAAGCAACAATATGTTCTTAAATCACCATTTGGTGGTTCCTTTAATGAAGCTGCCCTGTCACATGATCACACTTCTAGACAGGATATGTACAGGCAAGGACAGAAGGATAACAATAGAATTTCGAGCAACCAGCTGCATGCACATGAGGAAAATAACAGAAATCAAAATGCTGTTAAGAGGAATTTCTCTCAACTTATGGACAGTTATGCAGAAAAAGAATTCAGTCTTGAATATGAACATGAATATTATGAATGGGTGGCTAAACAGAGAAAGCTAGATGAAGCCAAGGTTGTCCACTCTGTAGAAACTCCTGAAAAATCTAATGAATATTGGTGGATGTACAGAGATAATTGTGATAATGAAATTGTACAAACTATAAATCTGCCAGTTAGACAACAGACTAGCCTAGAGGACACAAATACACCATGTGGTTTTTGTAAATGTTGCAACTCAATTAGTAACTATGTGCACCTGTTTGGTGAGATCCCAGAGAACATTCAAGTAATTGATTGTTTAGAGGAAGTAGTGGAATCTGTTGAACCTGAAATTAAACTAGAGTAAATAAGAAATAACATGATAACATTACAAAACACTGTGATCTGGATGAAAAGGATATAAATATTTGTACTGTAGAAATAACTTGTAAAATCAAGTTTAAAAATAAACAACCTATGTGTTATTTGGAATAGGTTTTTCAGAAATATACAAGACTATTGTATACATTTTAAACTGTTATGCAATATCTGGTTCAGGTTCATGAATTTTTTTACAAGTTGTATTGTTTAGGTGATTTATAAAAAGCTATTTTTTCCCCCAAACTTTCTTTCATAATTGAAAGAATATTGTTTAATTTTCTGCACTGACTCATTACATTTGTAAGTACTTTAAACCATTTGTTTTATCCCGGTTTTAAACGTTTATAGAATATTTATGTTGTCAATATGTATTGACAAATACAGGGATAGAAAAAAAATATATATATGTATATACAAAATAGATTTCTTGATTGTTTAAAAATAGTTTAGTTTTGAGTGAGTGATTTTTAAAACTTTTTATTAATAACCTGAGCCTATAAAGTTTGTATAATGTGGTAGTCATAAGTAAATTAAAAAAAATAGTATTTATCTATAAAAAAAAAATCATTTTTTTTTTTGATAATCCACATATATAGTGTTTTTCTTAAAAACAGTCATGTGTCTGCTAAAGGTGAGCTGGTAAGGCAAAACAATTTCATTTGTTCTCAACCCCTCCTACATTTTTCAAGAGATTTTGACCAAATTTTCACAGAAGCTTTGTCATCAATTTAAGTGTCCTGATGCATATTGTCGGTGTAATGCCTGCGGAATTATGGCCTTTTGTTATTTTTTTTTACAAAAAAACCCCCCAGAGAAATACACATCTGTTCTCAACTGCTACTACATTGCTCATGCAATTTTGACAGCTTTGTTATCAAGTGCTCTGGTGCTTTTTCAGTGGTTTGTGATTCATTTTGGCAGAATAACACCCTGTTTTTTTGTAAAACCAAAAAATAGACTTCTGTTCTCAACTCGCACTTTATTTCTAAAGTGATTTTGACTAAACTCTAAAACTCATTAAGACTGGTGTCCTGGCGAATGTTGTCCCGGTTTTATGATGAAAGACTTGTTTTAACCTTTGAGTTTACCTTTGAAAAACCGCCTCCGTGGTCGAGGGGTTAGAGTCGATGACTTCTAATCCAGTTACCTCTCTGGCGTGGGTTCGATCCCCGGGAGATGCTTTGGTAGTTTAGCGTGGAGGAAGGTAGTCTAGTACTGGTGTAACTCTCCAGGAACGATGGTTAGGAAACTACCCACCTATATGACTGAAATACTGTTGAGAAAAGGCGTAAACTGAAGCAAACAAACAAACAAACGTCATTCTGTGCTAAAATCCTACATTCCTATGTTCTAAAATGTGCTATACTGACATCATTGTAAAGCAAGCTACTCAACTGGCATCCCCATCCTAGATGAATTTCCTGCATGGGTATAATAATTGGAAACATTAGTTTGATATGCAAGAAATAAGATATTAGACATGATGGTTTTATTATTAGCTTGGTAACTGTTACAATATAGCGGGACTAAAAAATTCAGTTGTGAAGACTGATCAACAGTAAGTTAGGGACCAAAAACACATAAACACATGCCCATAGTGGGGTTCTCACTGCTAGCCCGAGTCTTTGAGAAAGCTACCCGACTGGCTTGCAGAATGACTTGAAATATATACACTTAATTAAAGTCTTCCTGACAGCCAGTTTAAAAGTATCCATGTAGGTATTCAGAGGTTAATACATAGAGAATATTGAGTAAGTGTAATTTCAAAATGAATAAAATTACTATATGCGAGCTTCTGGCCAGAATATTATTTAATTCAACGAGTTCAATAAATTTAGTAATGAACTTACAAGAATATAATAAACTATTTATCAAAATAAAGACTATTTAAAGTGAAAAAAAAAACATTTTTCATTGACCTGCTTCTATAGTTTAATGCTAACATTCAAGATGTCAAGTCCAAATATATGCACAAAGGTGCAATACCATTTTACGGAGTCACAAAAGTGGTACGGGAATGTGATAAACTGCAGATTAGGGTTGGAATATGATAATGCTGCCTCACAAGCCGAAGGCTTCAGCCCAAGTCAGAGCCGATTATCACTTTCAGGCCTGTCTCTGATGTGCATTAATGTCTTTAATACACTTGATAGCCTTAATATTAGCACTATATTTCATATAAAAACTAGAAATGTGTCCATAGGACACGGGTGCCCCCACCGCGCCACTGTTCTGTCAATCTTTTTACTAATTCAAGGGAAATAACTCTACAAATACTGGATAAATCCACAAGCAAAACTCCAGGTGCAAATCTAAATTATGCTGAGCAACCTGCCCATAAGGTTTAATGACTATGTCAATTCCTTTTTAAGAAACTTGCGACACAAGTTGAAAATTGCAAAAAATTTTAAAAGTGAAGGGCAATAACTCTAAAAATACTAAATAAATCCAGACGAAAATACCTGGTGCACAACTGCACATGCTTATCAATATTCCAGTAAAGTTACATGACTGTAGGTCAAATACTTTTGAGTTACGTGCGACACATGTTGAAAATTGCCAAATTTTACTAACTCAAGGGCAATAAGTCTGAAAATACTAAAAATATCCAGACGAAGATACCCAGGTGCACAACTACACATGCTGATCAACATTCCTGTAAAGTTTCATGACTCTAGGTGAAATACTTTTTGAGTTACGTGCGACACAAGTTGAAAATTGCAAAATTTTACTAAGTCAAGGGCAATAACTCTGAAAATACTAAAAATATCCAGACGAAAATACCCAGGTGCACAACTACACATGCTGATCAACATTCCTGTAAAGTTTCATGACTCTAGGTGAAATACTTTTTGAGGTACATGCGAAACAAGTTGAAAATTGCAAAATTTTACTAAGTCAAGGGCAATAACTCTAAAAATACTAAAAATATCCAGACGAAAATACCCAGGTGCACAACTACACATGCTGATCAACATTTGTGTAAAGTTTCATGACTCTAGGTCAAATACTTTTTGAGTTACATGCGACACAAGTTGAAAATTGCAAAATTTAACTAAGTCAAGGGCACTAACTCTAAAAATACTAAAAATATCCAGACGAAAATACCCAGGTGCACAACTGCACATGCTGATCAACATTCCTATAAAGTTTCATGACTCTAGGTTAAATACTTTTTGAGTTACGTGCGACACAAAAGTGAACGGACGGACGGACGGAAGGACGGACGGACAAGGGTAAATCTAAATGCCCGCCACTAACGTGGGGGCACAAATATAGATTTGTCTGTTGTTGAAATTCCTATCTCTATACTGTACAGTAACTTATACAGAGGTCATTTCCTCCTGTGAATACAAAGTCCACTACAATTAGGAAGCAAGATTCATTTTCTTGGAATAAAATTGGCTCATTTCATTTCTTTAAATTTCAAACTTTGTTTGCACAAATGACCCTCAAATTCTAATCTTAAAAATCAAGTGATCCGTGCTAAAAAGTCACTTTTTAGGTGTTTTGATGACATAACATAATTATGATGCCATTGGTACAGTTTTTGAACATGCTTGTGTTTAGCAGCTGATTATGAGTTTTCGGCCCTTGGCATGTGTCACTCATAATCAGATGAAATCATAGGTGATTTTGTTACTTTATATATACATGTTTAGTAACAAGTGTATACTATATAAGACTAAAATAAAACCAAAACATACTGGGGAGAAAGCAAAACAATTAATACTATTAAAACAAGTGTACAGATTTTATTTCTTCCTTCTATCCAAGTACATTAATACAACATAACTGTGACACAATCTTTACATTTACAATTTCCAACACAGAAATACAAAAAAAGTAGTGGATACAATAAAAGGGAGAAAACCTGTTACATGTGTATAATTTAAAATCTAGTAATTATCTCCCTTTGATAATAAGTTTTCTTATTAAAAATGAAGATACAATAAATTTCTGATTAAAAAACAAAACAAATTGCTTTAATAATAAAATTATGAAATTAAAATATCATTTAACATGTGCATGTACAATATTTACAAAATTGCTATCTTAATAAACCTTTAAAACTCTGCATATCTCATATGTTGAAGTTTCTGTATAAAAAGAGGCAAAATTAGAACAATGTAAGCAAATGGATGCTGGATTCACTTCTATATAGCAGACTTAAAGTTTAATAACACATAATAGATTTAAATTTTCACATTATCCTGACAATTCTGAAATATCACAGAAAAATTAATCTTTTTTTTTTATTTTCATTTTTTTATATTTTGTGTGAGTAGCTTACAAGGATGTTTCTAATACTATCGGAATGATAATAGGGTGTAAAGATAATTTAACACTAGCCTTGCCAGAACCTATTGTGATTTCCACCAGTATTTCTACAAAGTGACCAGGCTCTAGACCAATTTTTCATCTTGATATACTCTAAAATTGATAAAAGGCCATTAAAAAAATGTTTAAGAAATTAAAGAAATTTAGTAGGTGAAGGGTTAATATTAGTAAGTTTGCCAAGTTTAGGCAAAAATGAAAACATTTCAGAAATTTCAATGAAATTTAATGCTATTTTGTGTGCCAGTTACCAATATTATTTTATCATCTATCACATAACAAATACTTTAATAAACCAATATTGTATCAGGAATTATTTTTTTCTATTCAGAAATTGCACCTAACAACATTATTAATTCATACAGTCAAAGAAATCTTAACTTTTATAAGACAATTCATATTCATTCAGAATAACAAGAGCACCGCTAGGCGGAGCATTATATGCCCCAAAGTGATTTTTTTTTTAGTAAAGATGAAGCATTTGTAAGACATGGGAGTAAAATAAAGTATTACCTCCTTCAAATAACAATCCTCCTTTGAAGTTTCAATATTGTGGTCCAAATGGATTTTTAAGTTATGCCCCAGAAACTGTTTTCAATTCTAAGGTAAAAGTGACCTTGACCTTTGACCTCAAAATCATTAGGGGTCTTCTACCCAATATGGACAATCATACTATGAAGTTTAAACACAGTAGGCCAAATGATACTTAAGTTATATTCCGAAAACTGTTTTCAGTTTTAAGGTAATAGTGACCTTGACCTTGTGACCCCAAAATCAATAGGGGTCTTCTACCCAATATGGACAATCATCCTATGGTTGAATATGTGGCTAAATGGAACTTAAGTTATGCTCAAAAACTGTTTTCAATTTCTAAGTAATAGTGACCTTGACCTTTGACCTTGTGACCCCAAAATCAATAGGGGTCTTCTACCCAATATGGACAATCATCCTATGAAGTTTAAACAATGTGGGCCAAATAGAACTTAAGTTATGCTCAAGAAACTGTTTTCAGTTCTAAGGTAATAGTGACCTTGACCTTTGACCTTGTGACCCCAAAATCAATAGGGGTCTTCTACCCAATATGGACAATCATCCTATGAAATTTGAACACTGTGGGCCAAATGGAACTTAAGTTATGCTCCGGAAACTGTTTTCAGTTTTAAGGTCATAGTGACCTTGACCTTTGACCTTGTGACCCCAAAATCAATAGGGGTCTTCTACCCAATATGGACAATCATCCTATGAAGTTTGAACACTGTAGGCCAAATGGAACTTAAGTTATGCTCCGGAAACTGTTTTCAGTTTAAAGGTAATAGTGACCTTGACCTTTGACCTTGTGACCCCAAAATCAATAGGGGTCTTCTACCCAATATGGACAATCATCCTATGAAGTTTGAACACTGTGGGCCAAATGGAACTTAAGTTATGCTCCGGAAACTGTTTTCAGTTTTAAGGTCATAGTGACCTTGACCTTTGACCTTGTGACCCCAAAATCAATAGGGGTCTTCTACCCAATATGGACAATCATCCTATGAAGTTTGAACACTGTAGGCCAAATGGAACTTAAGTTATGCTCCGGAAACTGTTTTCAGTTTTAAGGTCATAGTGACCTTGACCTTTGACCTTATGACCCCAAAATCAATAAGGGTCTTCTACCCAATATGGACAATCATCCTATGAAGTTTGAATATTGTGGGCCAAATGGAACTTAAGTTATGCTCCGGAAACCAAATTGCTAACGGACGGACGGACGGACGGACGCCAGGGGGTATAACATAATATGTCCGAAATTCTTTCGGGCATATAAAAACACAATATCGAGCAAAACCATATAATTATAACAAATGTCATTATAACAAAATTTGTTAATTAACAAAAATTAAAGTTTTAAAATGAAACAACATAAGTTAAAATATATTTATCGTAATTATACAAACACCTTAAAATCTGTCCATTTCTGTGTATTTCTTCTCATAAAACGTTATTCACTTTTGGTAAAACAATTATTCCAACCTACTTATATATATAATTATATATATTTGTTCATATCAAACATGCTTTGTTTTTAGATTCATCAAATTAAGAACTACCAATTAACCAATAACTTGAAATTATAAAAGCATAATGATCAAGTTAAAATAAAATTCAGCACTTAATACATGCAATGAAAAAAATTCATCACTTGAGACTAAGGCTCCCACGTTTACAATTTTGAATAAACGTTTACACGATTGCTAAGAACCGAAACGATACCTTTTAAACGGTGGTATCTCTTTGTACTATATACATCATGTCTTTGAGTCGCAAAATGACGACTTACTTACTATTTTTAATACACGTACAAACAAATAATGTTCAGGGATCATCATGATTAAGTCAGCTAACATTTTTCTGCATTGTATTCCCAATTTTACCAAAAATGTATAACGTCACGAGCAATTTTTGCACGGTAATGCTGTGTGGAGGGTTGTAAACACCCATTTTTCGTTTTTTACTTTGGAATAAGCCACTTAAATTGATAAAATCCATGACTACAGGAAATAATTTAGAAATTTTGTAATACAAATATGGTCATTTCGATTAAACGGTAAACAATATCGTAAACGTTTACGAATGAAAATCGAAACGAATACGTTTAAACGTGTAATCGTGGGGGCCTACTTGAGACAAACAATAATATTATTATCAGTAATGCTGAGCATACTTGGCATGTTAAAATTATTTCCAACACCCTAAACTATATATATCCTCATAATCACATGTCACCACAGTAACTTTACAGCAGATTACAAATGGGTGTATAAAGCATTGTTCCAAGAATAACCCAAGCATATCTATACTTTAAATATCTGCATTGTTTTCTTATTTAGATTAGTCAAATCTTTTCTACTTTCTTGAAAAACAACAAATTACCCCTTTTACATTGAACTAAAAAACAAATTAAAACCAAAAATACTAGATAAATTTCATGACCAACTAGAATTTTTAAATTGCATTCATACTTATTATTTTTTTCATTTTCTTGCATGTTTCATCATATATCTATAGAAGAACAAAAATGAGAATTAACTATAATTTCACGTTAGGAAAAATAACTTAATTAATATTAACAAATATATTGTTGAAAATTTTGCAAGATGTGTTTGTTATTTCTTATATTGAGGTAAATCTGTGACTATCCCAAACATTTTTAAAAAAACATTGATTATTTTCCCTCTTTTCCCCCCAATGATTTTGTGTACTAACATTTATCAAAATTTGGGACTGGCATATATATTAATTTTGGGTATTTTATCATTAAAGTACTAAGTACAAACAAGTCCAATATAAAAACTCTGTATCACTAATCCAGCCACACACAGAAAGTCAATTCAGAAGACAAATACAATGCCACTTTTGAATAAATAATTTCTTTGTGAACAGTCATCTACAAAATAAGAAAGAAAAACATCTAATATTCTAAGTCTTGCCTAGGATTTCAAATTGTTTTCTTAACAAAAATATCCTAATTGTCAGATATGAAGAATTAATCATCAGTATCTTACAAGCAGGCAAATAAATGAGTTATAGAAGATAAAGGAAAACAAATAATAACTGTTTTATTAACATAAATAATAACTGTAAAAATGTTAAAATATTGGCAAGTGATTTTTCAAGTTATAATGAGCATGTTAGTTTCTTGAGTTTTAAAATGTAATTCAGCAATAATAATATTACATAATACACAATATTGCCTTGTTGGTACATGTATAATAAACAAAGTAATAAAATAATGTAAAAACTAGAACTATCACTAAATGAGATTAATACCCCTGCAATACTGCTTTGGAAATAAGGAAGTTACTAGTCACTAGTTACTAGTAACAGAATACCTTGCAAAAGAATTGAAATAGCAATGGAAAAGTACCAAAGGGCAATAACTCTGTAATTAATTTAGAGTTATGGTTCTTGTGCACTGCACTTCCCCTTATTGTGCTTGGCCATTGTATGAAGTTGTTTTGAATTCCAACCAGTAGTTTTCATGTTATGCCCCGGACAAGGAAAAGTAACTAAGGGCAATAACTCTGTAATTAGTCAAGATAGAGTTATGGTTCTTGTGCCATGCACTTCCTCTCAATGTGCTTGATCATTGTATTAAGTTGTATTGTATTCCAAGTCACCAAATGACTCCTATATACCCCCCAAACTTCATTTTTGGGGTATAATGAGACTTGATGGTGACCATAACCTACTCCATGATTAAGGTGAAAATTCATGGCTTAACATGCATAACCATAACCTACACTCTCATAACCTGATCTGTGATATAGATGAAAATTCATGGCTAAACACAGCATAACCATAACCTGTTCTGCACACTTATAACCTCATCTGTGATAAAGGTGAAAATTCATGGATTAACACAGCATGACTTAAAACTTTGAATTGTGTGTGAAACATATTTTATAATATCGTGAACCCAAGGGTAGGTGGTTTTTTTTTTTTACCTAGAACATGATTCAACTTGGGTTGATGTAATAAATGCTAAATATCTAGGTGTTGCAGTTTTTCAGAAGAAATTTAAATGAGATTTTCTAGTACTAAGTAACCACCAATTTTGACCCAAGAGTTATGATTTTATAGAGGATAACATTGTGCAATTTAAAAGATAATTATGTTCACAATATAAGTTTATGTAGATTCAGTGACCTCCAGATGGGGGGCCTTTTTAAAGCCAAAAGAACATGATTTATGCAAGTAGAGGTCTAAGTAAACAACAATAATATAAGCCAAATATAAGCCTAAGTCTGAGCATCTCAATTTTATATGACACTTATTCGCTTATTAAATACAGGGTAAAACAAAATAGGACATTATGTAAAACTGGTATTTAGAACAGGTCATATCAGCCTAAAGTTTCCATAAAGTCCATCTACAGTGTATATAACCATATTACTTTGTTCTACTTTACTGACAGCAGATGATAAATGACTACATTAAATAAGTCATTTTCAGCCTTTTTTTCCCTACAAAGACACATCTGTTTCTCTTTCTCCTGAGAAATGCACTTGTATGGAAAGCCATTTGCACTCTTACTCTAAATTATTAACTAACCAAATTTCTATACATGTAAATAGCATTTACAGCTTTGATAACTTCTCAATGACCCAAACTTTCATTTTTAAGTATTCTTTATTTATAAGACATTTTGTATGGTCTGAATGCATTTTCTGTCTTGTGTTATCTGTGCTTTCCATACACAAGTGGGGCTTAGAGCTTTACTTATATCTAATGATATATTTATCAACATTTCTATAACACATTTTCTCATTTACAGATACCATCAAACAAACGGATAATTTCATAAACAAAAGCAGTACTTGATATAACAAAATTTGTGATGAAGTCTATAAGGAAGAGAACAATAACAGGTTTTATGTGTCTTCTTTATTTCTGAAATATTAATATTGTACACTTAAACAACTAATTTCATCACATATTGGTTAAAACAAGAAATTTATTTTTAAAATAATATTATTAAAGATGAAAAATCGTTAAGATTTTCTTGTGACAGTAAAAAGACCTATGCATTCATTATGTTATTACCTTGAACAAATACTTTATTGGGACACTGTCTCTATAGATTTATTTTTTCAGATTTTTACTATAAAAAAGTGTTACCTTTATAACAATACAAATTTTTAGTCACATGGAACCCTTGAATTAACAGTAAGAAAAACTCCCTTAGGCCTTAGGGAAATTAATTAACATTACAAAATTAGTGAGGGGTAATAATAACAAGAGCTGTCACAGGAGACAGCGAAGCTCGACTAATAAAATACTGGACGCAGTAAGGAGGACAAAACTATGAAAGAAAAATCCATTATGTATAATTATGTATTAAGTTATAGAAAAAAAAAAACATTTGTTAACATTAATTCCAAGATCAAGGGGAATAATTCTAGAAATAGTCATGCTAGAGTTATGGACCTTGTCACACAACATTTGTGTAATGATAAGAAATATATATTTGAAGTTTGAAGTAGATACCTTAAAAAGTAAAGAAGTTATTATATTTCTTAAAGGAACCTAAGTTCAAAGACAGATAAATCTGTAAATATTGCTTCAAGAGTTATGAACATTGTCACATAAAATGTAATTGATGATAAGGAATAAGTATTTGAAGTTTGAGGTAGATACCTTTAAAAATAAAAAAGTTATAATAAAAAATAACATTTTTCTAGTAAAAAAATCTAAGTTTATGGAGAGATAATTCTTGCAATATTGGTGCTAGAGTTATGAACCTTGTCACATAAGATGTGGATGATGATAACGTAAATATATTTGAAGTATGAAGTTGATCCCTTTAGAAATAAATAAGTAACAGTAAAAAATAATATTTTTTATGGAAAATTCTAAGTTCAAAGGGAGATAAATCTAAAAATATTGGTGCTAGAGTTATGAACCTTGTCACATAAGATGGGGATGATGATAACGTAAATATATTTGAAGTATGAGGTTGATCCCTTAAGAAATAAAGAAGAAACAGTAAGAAATAGTATTTTTTGAGGAAAATTCTAAGTTCAAGAGGAGATAAATCTGAAAATATTGGTGCTAGAGTTATGAACCTTGTCACATAAGATGTGGTTGATGATAAGGAACATATATTTGAAGTTTGAAGTTGATACCTTAAGAAATGACAAAGTTATAGTGAAAAATATTTTACTGCACCAAAACTTTAATCTAAAATCTGGACGCGGACGCCGGGCGAGTAGGACAGCTCTCCATATACTTCGTATAGTCGAGCTAAAAATTGCTCCTGTCTGGAGTTGAACATTTGAAAGTGGAAATACCTTAAAATAACATAAAACTGATGCACTGATATATTATGCTCTGAAAAAAGATGCAATTTAGCACTATTATCTTATAAAATAATCCTCTAAAAGCAAAAAATAGATTTTTGATCCATCTTTATACAAATTTTCTGATGCTCAATTATTGCATATAACTGACATATAAGTCTTAAAATAATACTAGTAAGCACATACAGAGAATTGGTTTATGAACTTTCTCCTAAGGCCAACACTATTGTTTAGTATATGTTGCATAGAATACATTAATTCCACAAATTACTCTTTTGCTTCAATATTAATGACGGATACAAATTTAAATGTTGTCTATTTTCAGTAGTAAACAAAAAGCACTTAGATAGAATACAAAAATAATGTTGCGTATACTTCACCCATTTGCTCAAAATGAAACTCCAGTTTAACACCAAGCCAGTCTGGGCACCAGTCCAGTTTAACCAAGCTCTATAATGTTGGTTGCTTAATCTAACTATCTTAATAATGAAATATCTTAAATTAGTTATGGACTGTTCCATAATGAAAGCCGGGAAGGTCAATTATAAAATATCAGCAGTGATAGTATGGACCATTACATTCCTTTGTTCACCTATTGCAATAATAGCTTTGAACCAAGAAATTCATGAAGGATTTTATAATAAATTCTTCTGTTTCTAATTTACCCATTTCCCAGGTGGATTGTAATTCAACTTTTTAATGTGCACAGTCAAACAAATGTTTACCAATTTTATTTACAAAAGAAAGGTTATTGAGTACATAACAGATTTTTTTTAAAGTGACAGCATTTTTTTTTTTTAAATATTTAAGCATATACACTCTAGTGTATCACAAGTTTACAAAGTTTCTACTACATATACATTCAACAATACATTTACAACTTCCAATTGCACGTGCATATACTCCACAATAAAATCTTATTATATGAAAAGGCAAGTGTCTTATTTTTTTTATTCAACCCTTACTGTGTTCGACCTGGAAGTGATTAGCTTTTGCCACCAAAATAGTGCCAGGCCAGCCTGCAAATTTGTGCCACCCAACTACAATCTATACTGTTGGCTGACAAACTATAGTTTTTCATCTCAATATAGCAAAAAAATAATAATAGGCTGTTCTAAAAGTGAAAGCTAGACAAGTCAAAGCAAGAAATTTGGCTGGTCAATTTCATGTGTAACATTACAATGAATATCATGATATCTTCCAAAACTGCATACTCATATACATTTTGTGGTACAACAGAAAAAATATCTGGCTCTGTACTGGTGGCCTAGGCCAGTTATTAATGCAACAAGCATTTTCATTAGTTTTAATGAACATTAAAGGGTTTACATTAATAGTTTATGTACAACAACTTGATTTAAATCACAATTCTAAAGTTTGTGTAAATCACAGTTCTAAAACAGTCACTACATGCTGATATGAATTGAACAAGCTTTAAATTAACTAAAAATCATTATCTAGAACTTATTTTGTGAAAAAATTAAGGCAAATATTTTAGTTACATACATTTTTCATCAAAATTAAGTTTAATTAAATAGTTTCCATTGTAAAACTTCAGTTTTCAAAGAATATATATTGTTTAATTTAAGTGCATATAGCATGTGAAGTTTCTGAACACATTAAGCTCTTTCCATCAATGCTATAAAACTGTTGTCAGTAAAAAATGCATCAGCATTTTATACAAAATTTTCAAATCAGCCAATCCCATTAACTTATACATCCAAAACAGCCAATGAAAATACATCTAACAAAACAAATACATTGTGTTTCAATGTCAAATGGAAGGATTTCATTGGCTAATGAACAGGCAATGCTTGATTATGAATACTGATGTGAACTTTCACCCTGAATAAGAATGACACTTGACCCAAAAACATGCCTCCAAGAATAAATATATTTGTACTTTATCCAATCTTTCTCTTATAGAAACATCATATTGAGGCAGTTTTCAGCAAAATGGTGGGTAAATCAAAAAGAATAATACATATCATTTGTCAGAAGATCTTACAACAGAGAAAGTGAAATACTATGACAATGTTACTAAAATTATTGCATATTATATCTGGTTCCTCTGATACCTTATCTCCTTTCATGTTTCATCAATATGAAATATATCTCACTTTAAAAAAAAGAAACATTTCATACTTCATAGGTGAGAATAGATGTAATGTTTCATTTTTCTCAGTAAGATATATTCTATACTTTCCTTAATAAGATACACATATATATTTAACTAACAATTTATGAAGCATTTGCTTTACAGCATTTTAAAAATCTTTGACAATTTTTAAAGAAGGTGTACTATGAAAGTTACTCAACAGTATCATTACAACATCACATTCAATGAGTATGAAAATAACAATTAAAATCTTAAAACACTTGCAGAACTAAACAATACAGAAATAAATGTATCATGTTAATACATGAAACTAATTATACAGCAAGAAAAAAAAAGCAATACAAAATAGAGAATATAACAACATAAAATTTCTAATCAATCATTCAATGATTGAATAAGGTGACAGATTTGTAAACTGTGTAAATCTCACAGGAACCGAATAAGCAGCTGTCTAATATATCTACTAGATGCAGCAGTAAATTTAAGAAAAAAAATTGTTTCAAAACTACATAAAAAATATCAGATTTAAAACTGATTTGCATAATTTTAAATGAAGATTTTACATGTATGCATTACAGGGCCTGCTCGATAAATAAGTGTAATTTCTTTTCTTTTAACTAGAACCATTGCCTAGCATGGGCCATGCTCAACTTTTCTTCCTTCTTAAGTCAAACACATCAGCAGGAACATTGTAGTAAAGAGTACTCCTCAAAAACATAATCTTCTTGTAAAAAATAAAATTCAAATTTCAGTTTTGACCTTGACAATCAAGGTCATTTAAAGGTCAAAGCCACATTTGAATTAATTAATCATGTCAGGTTTGTCAGAAATGTTCCTTTTTCAGTAATGAATTAAATCCATAAATTAATAAAAAAGTAAAGACAATTTAAGCAAATTTCAATAATTTGACCTTCAAAGTGAAGGTCGACTAAAGGTCAAAGACATACCAGAATAACTCAACCTATTAGTTTTGTCATATGTGTTCTATTGTCCAAGATTAAATAAAATTTGTAAATGAATTTCAAAGCTTCAACAGAAAATTTCAAACATTTAACCTTGACAGTGAAGGTCAAAGTTACATCAGAATAATATCTGAAAATAAATAACAAAGTTACAACAATTTAAGCAAATTTCAATGATTTGACTTTAAAGATCAATGTCAAAATATGGTCAAGGTCATCTTTGAATAATTTGTTACAAGGGTTCTATTGTCCAAATATAAATCAAATCTGTATATATATAACAAAGTTATGACAGAATAAGCTAAATTCAATATTTGACCTTGACAGTCAAGGCCATTTATAAGTCAACGGTTGTTGTGTCCAAGTATGAAAACAGTCCATTAAGAAATAAAAAATCATGGAAACTGTTAAAAGTTTCTGGCAACAACCTAACTGTAGCAGTATCTAAAATGTTACTTTCTACCCTATGCACAACAATACTGCTATGTCATTTGTCTAATTATTTTTATATATTAATAAATTTGCATATTTCCAGTGTATTTACAACAATTTTTGTTAAAAATAAGTGAAATCTACACATATAATTAAAATATAATGTCTTTTAATCTTCAGTTTGTAACAGTTTAATACAAATAAAAATTTTACTGATTACAAATAAAAATCTTTTTACCACATAAAAATAAATTTAAAAGGAATGAGCACTTTACAAATAATCTGAAGGACTTCTTTTTCAATGTATTTTGAACCTTGTTTTATTAAGCTTATCCTGAACCAAGTTTCTTTGTTTTAATATGCTTAGCCTTGACCTCGGTGCTTAAAAGCTTAGCATTTGTCTTGTTTTAACATGCCTAGCATGTGCCTTGCTTTATTATGATTAGCCTGTCCCTTGTTTTACCGTCATAGCCTGGTTATTAATTGCATCACAACTTAACATATAGTAACAACCAATTAACAAGAAATAAAATCTGTTTAAAGATGTACACATTTTAAAATATGACCCTATAGTGAGTGAGGTAAATTGCATGATTATTTACTGAAAAGTCACAGCCGTTGGTATAATGTAAAACAATTACAATGATGAACAGATTAAAAACTGCGCTTTTCTTTCTTTGATATGGGGGTGCTTAGGACTTAATAGATGAAAACCTAAGTTACTGCTCTATGAATTATTTAGGGGCAAATGGGCACGAGTAGAACCAACAACTTCCAAGCTTCCGCACATAAAACAATTCATAGCCTCAGGCTTTGAACCCATAGTGGTGAGAGGCAACTTGAACCAATTAGCCACCAAGGCTTCTTTCAAAAGCTTTCATCCTATTTATAAAGTCGGACTGTTAATGACTGTACATCAAAGTAAGAGGTTGTGAGCTTGATCCTCTTGCTACTCTATACTGTTTGTGTAATCTAAAATAAACATGGACATACACATAACCTCATGGGTCGGGCTAAAACACTACTAGCAAATTAAATTTAAGGGATGGTAATGCACTGTAAAACTAACTGATTGTATTTTTTAGAATGATACAGTAAATAACCATATAACTTGCCTGTCACATCAACAACAATAATAAACATCTCTACTTGTACATCTTAAGAACATAACAAATATGACTATCATTAACAGGAATAGAATAAATGTATAGAAAATATTTCTTTATTTATAACATGTATGGATAGTGAAAATATTACTTGTTACTAGTAAAAAATGAATATCCATCCATCATGGGTGATACATGCTACCCATTTACTCTAGTAAACATGTGTTAGCCAAAATGAATGTCCCATAGCATAATGTAAATGGATTTAAACAGATCTTTGCCTGGATCAACTACTAGCCCAGTTTGTGTCTTGTATTTATGAGAGATTTGTTAAGGCCCTGCACCTTTCTATCTTACAATATAATTTCTTATGCACAAGCAGTTATAGTATATTTATCACTTGATAAGCACCCTCGGATTATGTGCATGGGTCACTAATAAAAAATGGATAAACAAAATCAAGTTTATTCTTGACATCTAATTGCAAACTTCTTATACATGTATATCACTTACACACAGAATAAAAATCACTGCACCAAAGAAATACCAGGAAACTGTTACAAAAACATGGTCTAACAGTTTCTATATCAAAGTTCTCAAAACTTCTACAGGGAAGCAGTATAAGCGTTTGATCTATACATATAAGTATAATGTTACTAAAATAAGTTAAGACACAAATGTTTTATGAAATATACATCAATGTAATTCAGCCATAATATCTGCCTGTATGCTTCTATTTGTCTATCCTCTCTGTCATATAGAGTTCTCTATGTTATAATGGTCAAGTATACGCTTTGCTTCGCGATGTCCAGTCAACAAGGCCCCATGGGTTGTGGAGTAGAAGGACGGGTGAGTTGCTTCTCCTGCAAACTGTATCACAGGCTGAAAATAGAGAAGATTCAACAAAATTAATAAACATAAAAAAGATACAGGGAAACTTAATGCAACACAGGCTAGAAATATTCTGATTGGTTAGTAACTGTTATGGAATTAAAAGAAAAATGACCAATAGCTATGCTGCATGGTCATAAAGTTCTAGTTACACAATTATTTTCTTCTTTTTTTAAATTTTACCGTGAACACACCAGTATACCAACAATCTATATATAGTATCAAACATGTGAATCTATATTGAGCTGTGCAACTGACAGCAGATGGTCATGAAATACATATAAACAATTATTATCTTAATGATGCCAAAGTCAAGCTTTTTATCTATGATACTGATTACTTGGCAATCATTTGCAAGTACAAAAGCCTTAAAAATCTATCAATAATTTGTCTTCTCCTAATTACAGTAAAGCAGTCAAGATTCCATTCCAAAATCTTGTAAAGTACAGTCATGTACCTTTCTTTACAAAATCTGAAAATCATTACCTTCATAACCTATGTCTTGACTTATCATGTAGGCAAAAACATTTCAATCACAACAACACCAAATTAAAAACCTCAGTTTGTTGGAACAAAATAACTTGACAATGAAATGGTAAAAGAGTAAGTAAACTTAATTTTTGGCACCTAAAAAGATCAAATTCAAATTTCAGAATTTCTAAAATCACTAAACAGGAAAAGATACCTCCAAATATATTCTACTGTTTTGTAAGACATGGTCATTTTTAATAGTATATTAAAACAAGCTGGCGACTTTATCAAATTGCTGACATTCAGTAAGCTAGCAGGATAGCTTCCTCACACTGAAAAAATTACTGCTGGCAAGCAGTAAAGAGCAAAAAATTCCAAGTGAACTTATTTACTTAGATGCATAAATTTATGTCTGTAAAATATACCTCCATCTCAAAGGACTAAAGTTAAACAAATGCCAGTTAAATGAAGTCACAAACTGGTCTAGTTTTAATTATTGCTAGCTCTAATCTGTCTTAATAATCAATCAAAGCTAAAATTGAATTTCAGCTGGCCACAATATGACCAGACAATTTGCCAACTTGGAAAAATTAATAAATCATGTAGCAAAAACACACCTGTAAAATCTTAGGCCATAAAGAATACAATATGTACAATAATATCATCTATTTATCCACAAAACATGACAACATCTCCCTTAAAATTGACTTTTATAGTACACTTTTGGTTACAAAAATAGAAAAAAGACATCAACACTAACAAGTAGGCTGAAATGAGGAAAATAATTGGTCAAATCAACTGCACACCACACTGTGATGTTTTTTTTTCTTTATTTCAGTTCACAAGTTCACAACTGTATAAAAAAAACAGTTAAAGAAAACCAGTATTTTGTCTAAGTTGTCATTGATCTATGAAAGTGAAGTTTCAGAACTAAGCATGTTTAAAATCCAAAACTATTTTCAGACTCTAGAGAGCCCAAAAGCAATTCCAAGTGAGGTCTTCACATAAGCTTGTTGCACACCATCATTCTTTGAATTTTATCATACTAAATTATAGTTATTGACTGGAAATTGATTCTCTATTTCTAGTAACAGTGACATTGACCTTTACCATCCCAAATGAGTTCTTCATGCTTACTTGCTTTATACCAAATTTGATTAAAATATGTCAATCTGAACTTAAGTTATTGACTAAAAACCATTCAGTTTGACGCCCACCTGACTTCATAGATGGTGATGATTTTATTGGTTGGCTTAATATATTTTTATCGAGAAAAAAAAAAACAAGAGGGCCATGATGGCCCTGAGGTCGCTCACCTGTATATAGGCCTCCCCCACCCCCGGGCCAATTTTTACCCAAGGGCTTTTATTTGTTTATTTGAACAGACTTGGTAGACACCCATAAGAAGATGTTTCATGCTTAACATCTAAGTTCTAGCTCATTGGCTTTTTTAAAAGAAGATTTTTAAAGTTTTTACTATACACATATAGTTAAAAACAATGACACCCCTGGGGCAGGGCCAGTTTTGACCCCCAGGGCGTTTATTTTAACAAACTTTGTAGATATTTACTTAAAGATGTTTCATGCTTAATATCTAAACTCTAGCTATTTGGGTTTTTCCAAAGAAGATTTTTAAGTTTTTGCTATACACATATAAGGAAAATTAATGACCCCCCCCCGGGCGGGGCCAGTTTTGACCCCAGGGCTTTTATTTGAACATACTTGGTAGACACCCATTAGAACATGTATCATGCTAAATATCTTAGCTCTAGCTCTTTGAGTTCTTTAAAAGAAGATTTTTAAGTTTTTACTATATGCATATAGGGAAAATCAATGACCCCCTGGGGCGGGGCCAATTTTGACCCCAGGGCTTTTATTTGAACAAACTTGGTAGACACTCATTAGAAGATGTTTCATGCTAAATATCTTAGCTCTAGCTCTTTGGGTTCTTTAAAAGAAGATTTTTAAGTTTTTACTATATGCATATAGGGAAAATCAATGACCCCCGGGGCGGGGCCAATTTTGACCCGAGGGCTTTAATTTGAACAAACTTGGTAGACACTCACTAGAAGATGTTTCATGCTTAATATCTTAGCTCTAGCTCTTTGGGTTCTTTAAAAGAAGATTTTTTAAGTTTTTACTATATGCATATAGGGAAAATCAATGACCCCCTGGGGCGGGGCCAATTTTGACCCCAGGGCTTTTATTTGAACAAACTTGGTAGACATTCACTAGAAGATGTTTCATGCAAAATATCTTAGCTCTAGCTCTTACGGTTCTTTAAAAGAAGATTTTTTAAGTTTTTACTATATGCATATAGGGAAAATCAATGACCCCCAGGGGCGGGGCCAATTTTGACCCCAGGGCTTTTATTTGAACAAACTTGGTAAACACTCACTAGAAGATGTTTCATGCCAAATATCTAAGCTCTAGCTCTTATGGTTTTTTAAAAGAAGATATTTAAAGTTTTTTCTTTTGGTTGCCATGGCAACCAGAGTTCTGCATGGAATTAAATTCTTTGAACAATTTTTAAAGGTGACCACCAAAGGAACATTCCTGTGAAGTTTGGATGAAATTGGCTCAGTGGTTTATGAGGAGATGTCATTTACAGCAAAAGTTTACGGACGGACGGACGACGGACGGACGGACGCCGGACGAAAAGCGATCACAAAAGCTCACCCTGTCACTTTGTGACAGGTGAGCTAAAAACACAAAATAATTGAAAGGGCAAAATAGAGTTACTGACAATCAGATCTACATGTAAAACAGAACAATGTGATCTTAGTCTGATTGTGTCTGTATGTATACCTACAGCTGAAAAACTGCATCAGTGAACTGGACCGTAAGAGACTCTTATAATCATAATGATTTAATGTGAGATACAGTGCTTAATTTGGCATGTCTCAAGAAACGATTAAGCTGATACCCTATAATTTATTCCTTAAAATAAATTGAAATTTAACATTGATATATAATATGCTGATATTAAAATTACAATGATGACATGGCTACTTTTATGTTATACTGTTACTAGTTATGTAAATGACATGTCATTAAGTTTCTTACATACATTAACAATTATATCTCTTTGGTTATGCCCTATAAAAAGCTTATTCTTTATGTTTGGTTTGACACAACTTGTCACTGTTATTGTCATATATGGTGATTTTCCAGTTAAACTGTATTTATACCATAGAAAGCCCAACATTAATTATTTCAGGCACTGTATGAATTCACTAAGAAAATGTCAAGAGGTAAGCCTGGTTGAATGCTAGTAATGTATCATTTAACCCTTTACCGCATGAGCATATTGTTAAAAATGGCCATTTTCATTGAAAAGCCTCCTGTTACAAGTTCAAACTGCTATGAAACTATGAAAAATGCTTCAGTATTAATGAAACTTGGCACAAAATTGACTGGACCATAGCCTCTGTAACAACATGCGCAATCTAAAATTTCCTGTTATCATGGCAACGGGGAGACGTCTCAAAATTCCCCAAAAATCACAATTTTGTATTGTTTTTTATCCCATCAAATTTGATTTCAAAGTGCTGCAACTAATCTCAATGGATTGAGATAGAGTAAAAGGCTTTTCAGCGTTGGTTACACCTTACCTTTCGATGGACCTGAGGCCATTTTTAGCCTGTCACAAGATCAAAATTTTCTTGGCAATGAAAGGGGTGGCCACCACCCCCAGAAGGGGCCACATCCCCCTTCTGGCAACCCCTTAATGAACCTTTTTGATAGGGGCAGCGCCCAAGAAGTGATCACTTTTCACAAACGTAATTTCTCAAACAAACTTGAACTCCGCAAGTCGGATGTGTCGCCTTGTGAACAATATAGTTTAGGAGAAATGGCCAGGATGAAATATGAAAATTTACAAAGGGCAATAACTCAAAAAAAAAATAAGTGCAGAGCAGCAGTTTCTGTGCACTGCACTTCTTATCAATAAAATCTATCATTCTATAAAGTTTCAAGTCAATATCTTTTATAATTTATGAGAAATGGCCTGGACTAAAAATAAAGTATGAAAATTAATAATGGGTAATTACTCAAAAATAAGAAATGCAGAGTACCAGTTCTTGTGCAATGCACTTCTTTTTAATGAGATCTATCATCCTATGAAGTTTCAAGTCCATAGATTTTATACTATAAATAGATTTTATAGCAGAAATGGCTCGGACAAAAATAAAGTATGAAAATTAACAAAGGGCAATAACTCAAGAAATAAGAAGTGCAGAGTACCAGTTCTTATGCACTGCACTTTTTCTTAATGAGATTTATCATCCTATGAAGTTTCAAGTCCATAGATTTTATACTTTAGGAGAAATGGCTCGGTCAAAAATAAAGTATGAAAATTAACAAAGGGCAATTACTCAAGAAATAAGAAGTGCAGAGTACCAGTTCTTGTGCACTGCACTTCGGGTCATTGTAAGAAGCATGCATACCAAGTTTGAAGTCAATCATCCGACTTACAATGACTGACTTATGCTCCCGACAAGCTTAAAGAGACGCCGACA